TTTACATTAGGATCACGCATATGGCTTGATTATTATATGGAAGCGAAAATAATTTAAATATGTTAATTATCATTTATGCTATTAGGTAAGAATTTTAAAATAGAAATTATATTATTCAATTATCAGGTCATATAAAGTACCTGTTTGGTTACCTGTGACAATACAGTAAAATTATTTATTTTAGCTGGAATTAATTTTCGCAGAAAAGACTTTTTGGATGTTTTGACGAGTTAAATGTAAAATGTAAGTTTGCTGGATTTTATTTTCACAGAATCATCCCATCAGGGAAAATCAATTCCAGTATTTACACTTGCATCCCAGATTTTTCACTTATTCTAGTCAACAATAAATGGAGCTACATAACATTTGACCCGGATAATATTAATTTTAATGATTGTTTGTACAAGCCACGGCATATTGACATGTGTCAACAATTACGCATTTTTTCTACGAAAATTGAACAGAAATATTATAACTCTACAGACATTGTACCATATCTCTTAGGTTCCCTGTCTTAACATCATGAGTATTACAACCTGGATGATATGAAATCACCAGGGCAACCAGAGAATTTCAACAACTTCAAAACATGCACTGTACGTGGCATATGGAATTCCAGGCAAGCTATTGAGTTTGTTTTTCTGCTAAATCTACTCTATTAGAAGCAGACTTCTCATAGAGGTGGATCACTTTGTACTAAATGTAAAGCACAAAGCACAAAGTTAATACAATAAACGTAAAAAATGCAATGTTTTGGAAGTTTAAAAATGAATAATTTTCCAAAATGGACTTTTAAATTACATCAGACTAAGTCCATCTATCTGTTGCATTAACATTTGCATATCGATACTACCGGTAGTATTTAGAAGCACACACAATTACATCAGACTAAGTCCATCTATCTGTTGCCTTAACATTTGCATATCGATACTACCGGTAGTATTTAGAAGCACACACAATTACATCAGACTAAGTCCATCTATCTGTTGTATTAACATTTGCATATCGATACTAGTATTTAGAAGCACACACAATTACATCAGACTAAGTCCATCTATCTGTTGCCTTAACATTTGCATATCGATACTAGTATTTAGAAGCACACACAATTACATCAGACTAAGTCCATCTATCTGTTGCATTAACATTTGCATATCGATACTACCGGTAGTATTTAGAAGCACACACAATTACATCAGACTAAGTCCATCTATCTGTTGTATTAACATTTGCATATCGATACTAGTATTTAGAAGCACACACAATTACATCAGACTAAGTCCATCTATCTGTTGTATTAACATTTGCATATCGATACTAGTATTTAGAAGCACACACAATTACATCAGACTAAGTCCATCTATCTGTTGCATTAACATTTGCATATCGATACTAGTATTTAGAAGCACACACAAATTCAAACAAATTTTAAACTTTTATAAAATAGTTACAAATCTTAATCTGCTTAACAACTTTAACTAAGAACCCTGGTTACACTGCTGTAACCAAGACCATCACTTGAAAGACTCAAAAGAAGATTAATGTTTAATTAAATAAAGTTCCTAAGCATCTTACGTCATATAAATGGTAAAAAGATGCCATCTGTTCAGTATTATTCATACTAATTTAAAGAAATTAAACTGCTAGGTGAAAATTTTACAGTTTGTGTTGAATACAACCAAGTCTTACAGAGGTTAGAAAATGTACCCTTCATTCCCATTATTGTACATGTACATGATGTACTCATTCACTAAGTTCAAGATGCAAAATTGTGTGATTCTGCTCAAAATTTGACTAGTTTTTCAAGAAAATAAACTCAAAATTTATGATGACCAACACCATTTGTTCTCAAATTTAGGTGTAAAGTTAGTTAGAAGGCAAACTAATCTATACATTGTTGGTATGGAAAGAAAGCCATCACTGACATCTGGTAGCAATAATTAGCATTACCATGGCAATCCATGGTCCGATGACATGACTGGAGGTGAAGTCAATGATTCATTTAAGTCATATTTTGTACCAGACTACACAGATAATTAATCAGAAGATTTTGACAGTAACATGAAGCATTATTCTCAGATTTTCAGAAATGTTAATATACTGGATAATTGGAAGAATTACAAAAAAATAGATACAAATTGATATTAACCTATGTTTGTAGCATTGTTCCCAGCTGTGTCAATGCAATTATTGTCGTACTAAATCTAACAACCTGTCATTTTCACAAATAATGTTGATATTATGCAAATGAGAACAAGAAGCATTTAGATATTCCATATTTACTTGTCAATAAATAAACTTTTGAGATTTATTTTAAAATTTACCAAAAATCTAAAAATGATTATAGTGATAAACTCAAATCGTTTAGTCAAAAATCTTAAAATATTTAGTTTACGTAAATTACAGAGATGTGTCTGGTCAAAATACCAGAATAAGGTATGGGTTTACGTAAATTACAGAGATGTGTCTGGTCAAAATACCAGAATAAGGTATGGGTTTACGTAAGTTACAGAGATGTGTCTGGTCAAAATACCAGAATAAGGTATGGGTTTACGTAAGTTACAGAGATGTGTCTGGTCAAAATACCAGAATAAGGTATGGGTTTACGTAAATTAGAGATGTGTCTGGTCAAAATACCAGAATAAGGTATGGGTTTACGTAAGTTACAGAGATGTGTCTGGTCAAAATACCAGAATAAGGTATGGGTTTACGTAAGTTACAGAGATGTGTCTGGTCAAAATACCAGAATAAGGTATGGGTTTACGTAAGTTACAGAGATGTGTCTGGTCAAAATACCAGAATAAGGTATGGGTTTACGTAAATTACAGAGATGTGTCTGGTCAAAATACCAGAATAAGGTATGGGTTTACGCAAGTTACAGAGATGTGTCTGGTCAAAATACCAGAATAAGGTATGGGTTTACGTAAATTACAGAGATGTGTCTGGTCAAAATACATGCAAGTCATATTTTAATGATCAAGTATACAATAAATTCAGCTTTTAGTTGGCAAGCTGTCATCTACAGATGTATTTCTTATAAAGCAAATAAGGTATTTTTGTTTATACATGTACAACATACATACATGTAAAAACTAGATGTATACAAAATACGGAAAGTCCTGATCATTAAAACGAACAAGGTAAACTAAAAATGAACTCAGGATATCTAAAAATCTAGCAGAGTACGTGTACATGT